TCTATCTTCATCTTACTGTTATCGGTATCCTCATCCTAATTTTTTCTGTATATTTATCTTGGTTTTTACTTTTATGTTTATGATTTTCTTCTTCTACATATTCCCCTTCACCTTTGTCCTTATATAAATAAAGTGTTTAAATTTACTTTGACCTTCATTTTTGCCTTCAACTTTACGCATCTTTATTTTTTTTACCTTTGCCTTTATCCTTTTCTTTATCTATGTAGATACTCATCTTTACTTTCGTTATGGTATTGGTCTTTTTCTAAATGTTATTCTTTAACCTTTTATTAGCAAGTTTTTGTTAAATCAGCACCATGTGCATACACTCAATAAGCACCTGTTTCAGCCCCAACCATTTCCGTTGCACCATTTCCGTTGCATCATTTCCATTGCACCATTTCTGTGTGCAATTTCCTTTGAATTTGCCAATTTACTCCCAACCAACCAACCGCCGCTAAAGAAGTTTCACTTCAAAAAGCTCTCATGTTTTAGTCGTGAGTCACAACTCGTGACTGGTATATGGTAGTTATGAGCACTGTGGGCAGAACTTTTTCGAGCATTTAAAACAAATATTTAGTCACGCGTAGAGTTAAAGTTTCTTTGCTTATAACAAAAATAAAGCATGATAGACTTCGAGCCTAAACCGTATCATAACGAGACCTTCGGGCCGAAGTGTGGCCCACCAAAATCTGGATGAAGCAGCTACTACCTAACCTTACCTAAGTTTATGAAGATGGTCACTGAGCTGTTAAAATCTGGAACGCATGTAGCAGTTCTTGTGCGAGATTTGGTTATAGATATATAGATGTAAATAGAGTAAGCACTGCGACCAGTATGTAGGTCTATTTTGTCCTCAGCTCATCACAACACTACAGCTAGCCCTAGCCTAGCTAGCTATATAAATTTCAGAGTAGATTCCGGGGTTAGGGAGCGTATGTGCTCTTCTCTTGTTCATAGAAGTCCTATGCATCCTTCCCTTCGACGTTAAACGGCATCATGCTCCGGGAGGTGACGCAAATTTGTCTCTTTGGCGGAATCATAAAAGCGACATAGGTCGCTTGACCAGATCATATACAACTTGTCTCTTCGGCTACAATGGCCCGTCAAATAAATGTAATAATTGTTAGCCTATCCTTAGGGAGGTTTATGAGTAGCCTCCACCTCTTTAGATTGTACCCCCCTAGAGATTGGACTAAAAGCGTACTTTGCCAAATCAACACCAAAATTCGTAGCTTCAGATCTGGCAAACCCATCATGAACCATATTTTCAAGGGCGTTTGATAAGAAAATCAACAAAAACTACTACTAAGATCCTCGCAAACTTCATACTCGTACGATCCGGTCGAGACCAATCTAGGTTTTGGCCAAGTTAACTCAATGGAAAAGTTGTGTGATAATCTGAGTCATAGTTATACCATATCCATACAGCCTGTCGGAGGAATCAACCGACAATAATATTAGCCAGCAGTTACAAAGACGAGCACGTAGTGCCATCTCTTATAATACAAATCTTCTTATAAGCGGCAGAAATGTGGATAGTTGAGCTAAGATTATAAGGCTTTTCGACAGTTCTACTCAAGATCTATGGACTCTACCGCATGGACGACGGGTGCCAAAGATTATTTAATGACGAACTCTACGATCTTTATAATGATATGGAATAGTCAAAAGCATAAAAACATGCGTAAAGATAAGATAGAAAGACAAATACTTCCCACTATTTCATCACGTCTGAGCAGCTGGAATAATCATTTTTTCCTAGTTTCGCATTAAGACCTAGTTGTCGACTATATTTAAAAGAGATATGGATAGTTCTTACATCCTTCGCTTATATTGTTGTTTTGTATTTAGAAACTTCTTTAGTACTATTAAGATAAACCAAGAATTTATCTACCAAAACATTTCTTCTTCTTAGTGGCACTCATTTGCATTTGAACAAGGAATTAGAAGTTCTAGTCTAGGACGCCTTTTTCTTTTCCACGGACTCTTTCTCGAGTGTGTGAACGCAAAGCCGATCGAGATTAAATATTTTTCAGATTTTAATTTTGAGCACAGAAATAAATGTGGTACTTAAAGAACAAAAGTCGGCTCTGCTGTCCAGATCTTATTAAATCCTACTTCTCAAATAAGAAAACTATATACATATGTACATTTTATTTATATTTTTTGACTGTGCTGATATTTTGAGTACAGCTGTACATCTGTATATTGCATATATATTATATTTATTTACAATAAAATAAGCAGGCAAACATTTGCACAGACACAAATCCCGATATATACATATATACACTAAATTAAGCAATAGATATACCAAAAACATACATAGTTCATACACATAATCAGAAAAAAAAACGTTCAATGCGAAAACTAAGAAGCGATACAAATATTTCGCAAAAATAGATATGAATGTATTTCTAAATGAGTTTATACTA